CAACTTTAAAATACAAGTAATATTGTATGTCTTAATTGGTAGATGAGGCATTAATCAATGCATAATATATTTAATATTTACGCATATGAACTACAAACATTTCTTCATACATCTCGTGTAATTTTAAGGTCAAATATTTGGTAAATTTCAAATAGGAATTGTTGAAATAATATGTTACATTGTCATACTCCATGATTTGACCAAATCACCTTGCATTATCCTGTCGTTCTTCCTAAAATTATTTTTATTTATTTAAAATTATGCATAACTTGGAAAGACTTTTGTATAAAATTATTCATCGGCAAATCATCAAGCTCCCACTCAAAAAAAAAAAGCGTTGAGATTTCTATGGGCGAGTGGAATGAACTACATAAATAATTCTTTTCTGGCGCAATAGCCACAGCCACAGAATTCAATTCGCATGTCCTCCATTTATTTGCTACGATTGTGATCCCAATATTAAAGACGCGCTCGTTGAAAAGTCACGCCTAACATTATGTTGGTTTTACTTTTTATGCTACCTGCAATTACGAGATAAGTTTGATTTTATCACGTACCTTTATTTATTTTATTTAGCTACCCATTGGCGGCATTACTTTGAAGAAGAACGGACCACATAATGATCGGTGGTATAGATCTTACTTATTTTAATTTGTAAATTTTCTCTTCAGAAGCAATTTAGTTTTTGCGCTCAATTTGCAACGGTGAAATTGTTCCAGTTTGCCTCGAAGCTAGAAATTAAATAGTTTTGATCTATGTTGACTTGACGCCAAATTGTGTATTTACAATTAAGGTGTTGTTGGTTTATGAAATAAGTTTTTATCATAAGAATTTTTTTGATATTTTACCGGCGTTGGAGCTAGTAATTACCCGAAAATTAAATTTGAAATAATCAAAAGAATTTTTTATTTACATATTCATTACAACTAGTTTTTAAAACGAAGATAAAGCCCATGCCCTTAAATAGAATCAACGCAATTTATTACAACTTTTGGGACTGTTTCTGAACAAATTCCATCTTGGCCTTGTTTGAAAAATAGGCTTGCATCATGCAGCTTGGACCTACGCAAACTTCCTCACAGTTCCAACATACACAATCAAGTTATTCTTAATACAATTGCTTATACATTTTCAATGATTTAACTAGCATTACCCTGATAATGTGCCCAAAGTTTTTAGCAAATACAGCCCCGGATTTCTATGATTCTCAAATAGAAGTCTTGAACATTGTAAAGCTTATATTTGAACTTAGAATGAACGTAGAATTTCATAATAACTTAAAGAAAAAGATCTGATTTAGTCCCATATCATGGTTCCAATTTTAGAATATAATTTTGTCACGTACAGGTGCCGTTAGATTTGTTTACGTATTAAAAGCAATATAAAAAATTTCATGGTACATCATAAAACATATGCCATATCATTGTAAATCATCAATCGGTAATATTTCATCTCTTCATAAATGGTCAATAAAGTCATATCATTTTATGAACTATGATATCAGTGAAGACACCTGCCAAAACAAATCGGGAAGATCAAACTATCGGACAATTGTACAAAAAATCAAAGAACGAAAACCATACAGATATTTCAGTACAAATTGAGTTATTTGACCCGATATCACAATTATAGTGAAATATATCAAAACTAATTTTATTAATTTATAAGTCTTAGACGAAAAAGTACAACAAGGCATGAATCAGAAATGAAAGGCGGATGCGGACTTCCCGATCATCGACGTTCGGGTTTGGGCTAGTTTTCACCTACAGTTTGAAATCGGAAAACTAATGTTCGTTAGAAAACATCAATTTAACTTTTTTAGGTGATTGGTAAAACGTTCATTCTGGATAAGGCTCTGTACAAGAAGATAAGTAATGAACTTTTTATACCAGAATAATTACGATGTGAAACATTATGAACATTGTTTCATAGTCAACGGTTCCCAACCTTTTTTGGGGCTACCCCAATTTTTTTTAAAAAATAAATTTTGTAAAAAGTTTTGTAGTCTTCTATGGTATTCTGACTTATATAAAACACTCATTTCCACATCAAATATATTTTTCCAGAAATTTACTCAAGGTGGGGAAAACTGCGCTTGTTTGCCATCATACACAAGTTTTTGAAATCGTGTCGTGGGCTCGTGGGCTTTACCTAAGAAAAGCAGCAACTGTTGTGATGCTTCCCCCATATACAATTATTGTACAAACCTTCAATACAAATATATAATACCAATAAAATTTCCTAGAAAATAAAAGCAGAAACTTTTTAGTTTTTTTTTGTTAAAAAAACAAGCGACACAAGAAAATTTTAGGCGACCCAAACATTGACATTAGATTGTTGTGTTTTATCGAGCTTACTTTGGGAGGTTTCATAAAATAATTTGATATTCTCGATAATGGACCGGTTTGGGTATACAAAATTGCGCACTGTTACATATATACCACAATCTATGAATTAGTTTGGTAATGCATTTGTTTTTATATTATTCTACGAATAGGACACTCAGTAAGTTCCTTATTGCTTATGGTACGAAACCAATGAAAATTATACTCAATTTCATTGTAATGACCTCCAAATATAATTTAAATCTACTGATTACAATTGTTGTCTAGAAAATGCTTATTGATACATTTTTATACGAAGAGAACCAAAACCTGAGCATGAGGAATGGCGAGAAGGCCAAATTGAAGCCTGTTGATTGAAGCCACCAAGTCTTTTCAAAACACGCCTTGCTAATAATTCCCAGAAATAACAACTCTCAAGCGAATTGTCTCTCGTATGTATGTCCATGCTTAGTATTCTGACATATAATAGATCTGTAATATGAATTGCACCCATTTTTTATACATTCATTTTGGGGCAGAATGAAATTAAATATTTTTAACGTAGGCGAATACTCATGCGACCTGTCATTAAGCGAAGTCAAAGTAAACTATTACTTTGTTATTTCGTCAGTATAATGAATGCTTGAGCATGATCTGTTATTTAAATAAGGAAAGAATTTTCAAGTAATGTTTTACTACTGTAATAACTGTCCATACCGACGCCACGATGTCGTCATTTCGGGATAAAATATATTTCAATTTTGATGGGTGTCGTGCGCAAATATTCAGTATGGACTTATCCCACGCTATTACGTAAACAAGTTCTTGAATGAAAGACTCGCTTCACTCTCGCGAAGCTACTTTCCCACACGCTTACCATCTGCCGTTTTGTCTGTCACGTGATCGAGACAAAAATTCCTCAACACTCGACAAACTTATGACGGTTGGTAACATTATTTTCCGTTTGAAATGATACAAAATGATGTTTTCAAATTTTGTCCGATTTTGAAATAAATTGAATGAATAAAAAATTTTTGTGCAGTTTCGTAATATCAAGGTATTCACACTGATAATATTATTTCAGCAACAGGTTTTGGGTTATGTGGGTACTAAAATAAAAATAATGGGAAATATTGGATTTGATCACTTTGGATTTATCACTATGTATTCTTTTAAAATACTTTATCATTCATGTCTCTTATGAAGCTATTCCTATATGTAAAAAAATGCATATTACTAAAGAAGGTACTCAATATTTACTTCATACTTATGTTCGTAAATCAAATAAAAAAATAAATAAATTCCAAAATCACTGCTAATTCTTAAAATCGTTGATCGATCAAAAATCTTTCGTTCAACAAATATTCAGTGCATAATGAAATATGATAGTTTATATGTCATATAACATGAAAACCCGATGACAATCTATATACCGCATCATAACATTTAGATGATAATCGCTTTGTCGTTCGCACTTTCCCACGCGTGTCACACCTGCTTTTTGACAAAATCGTATATCTTTCCCACGAATACAAAATTTCGATGTTTAACGTTCATTAAAACCGACTTTTTAGATTTTGATTAAAGATTTATTAATATATACATTTATCTATACAAAGCAAAATTTAGGTGGTCAAAAAATTGTATTTTTTTAAATGAACATCGATCGTCGCATTGTGGCTTTCTTTATTAACTGATTTTCTGTCCGTCTATATTCTGTCACTGAAATATATTTTATCTATCTCTGAGGCACACGACTGCAACTTTTTGTCAATGATGTTTTCACTTTAAGTTGAGAACTCGAGACTTTGGACCGAGATCGGCAAAAAAAAGATGTCCAGAAAAATAGGAAAATTTTGGGAAATAATGTAATTACAATATAATAATGTGCCTATTCAAAAAATTCAAGTTGAAGTAATTTCTGAACTTTATAATTGTAATATAAATTAGTATCTTTCGACCTACTTAAATAAATTTTATCCAAGTATAATTATTTTTATCAAGTATAAGTTGTAGAGCTGAGATGATGAATTTGGCCACAGTAACTAGGAACTATTAAATCTGTAACTGAGTTGTTGTAAGTGGTTGAACCTGCTCTGCTTCCATGGACATAATATTTTTCCGACTGAGTTATGTAATACCAAGTTGAAATTGAATAGTATTTTTATAGATCTGTGATTTAAATTCTGTTTTTTTTTAATTCAAAATAAATATACTTCTGGTTGTTAGAATACACCAAATAAAAGAAAATTATGAATAATAAGTGCATTAGCATTAGAAATTTCCACAATCATGTTGTTTTTATCTCTCGTTAGCGTCTATCAGATCCAACTATAAGCCTCAGTTTTTGGCGGTCAGTACCACAAAGATTTGTGTGAATCCCGTCAAACAAAGTCGAAGCACGTATGTGACAGTTATAATTCGACACAGGTGCAAGAATATCATATGTTGACCTTATTCTCAATAATAAAGAGTTGCCAGTGATTATACGGTGTTCACTTAATGTGAATACTAACTACCGGAACACAACTCCCAAATCGTTCTTGATTTATTACCGACGCCAGCTTTTAATCTTCTATGTTAACAATTGGAACGCGCTTGATAAATCACGATTTTTAATGTGTCAATGACTATTTGACCGTGGTCTGAAGCTAAACAGTACTAAGCGGGAACATTATTTGAGCTGTGGCGGACGCGCGCGGAAAAAAAGCGTCGACGTGTTTCGAATCAGGTATAAATGGCAGCTGACTAGACTCGTTGTGAGATTGCTAAAAAAAACTGTCCGTGGAATATTTACCTGCTTTATACGATTCTTGCTATTATGGGTAAAATTGTTACCGTAAGTTCGGCCAGGGTCAGGAAAATAAGTCCAATACCTTACAAAGTGTCACCGACAGAGAAAACTCGTGATAAAAAGATCGCAGAAGAAGAAGAATGTTTTCAATTAATGAAGCAACTATGCAATATAGTTCCGATATCACCAAAACTCCAGCAGAGCGAGGCAACTTATACGGACCTGATAGAACACGCAGTCGATTATATATGCGATCTAGAGCAAGAACTGGGGCCAGAAATGTTGTCAGCACTCCATCAGCATCCAGATTTTTGCAAGCTTATGTCCTACAAATAGTAAGACATAAAAAGTGGAATAGAAGAAATGCTACACAATCAACTTTATTATATTTTATTGAGCTTCGAACACCACCGCCATCTTCTTCTTTTATGATATCTATTGTAAATATATGCCGCACAATCTATTTCGCCATTGCTTTTTAAAGGTAAGAATTATTTTTAAAATTTAACGTACAATACATTTGTGAAATGGTTCATATGATGTTTCTTTGGTAAAACTTTAAATCAAAATAAGCTAATATTAATTTGTAAACGCCATTTTGTGTGTGCCATTACCATGCCGGCTTACGACTAGGCATTTTACGACCACTCGAGTACAAGCAAAAATGGATGTATAACTTGACAAATACATTTTAACAAAAATGCTTCACAAATGTTATCACAGTGTATTCAGATTCCGTTGATTTCATTTTTGGTAGCTTGAGTATAAAACATATTTTGAATTTTAATAAGAAATATCTTCCGCATTCTTGCATTAGAGAAATATCCTAGGCAATTAATACAAATTTTTTTTGTTTTTGTTTTGTAGCTGTTTAGTTCATTTTTATGGCTTGAATTAGTGAACCAATATTTTGTTATCTTTTGGTGATTCCAACCTAACGTTAAATACTTTATAAGCTAGTTCAAAATCCCGATTGGAAATTAGAAATTTAATTTTTTTCCTTATATTACAGAATTCTACGTTATTTGCAAGGAATTTTCATTTGATGGCTTTATGATAAAGCAAACTGCAATCAATGAAAACGAATTTACTGCAAACGTCGTCTTCGCGAGTCGCGTCATTTTAAACAATATGGCGGACAAGACAACGTTTTGTGAAGTACAACAAAGGACTCTGCATATAAATCACCTTTTGTTTCTAGGTTGCTTAACTCGTGTTAAAATTCAAGCAAGTTCGCCTTTCTTTTCTTAAAGTATATAAATGGGAACTATTCATATAATGCCACATGCCGACACCGAACTAAACATAAAATAAGTTCTTTAAATACCTGTATTAAGTTGTTTTAGCATGAAATACGTGCCTAATTTGTTACCATGTATGACACTGGCAAGCCAATTATCCTCCCGTATATCTGCTGCAATTTTTCAGTTTACAAGTTGGATTGCTTTCACCGTATTCAGGCTGCTGCACGATAAGGTGTATCGTTTTTGTCATTATAATATCTAAGTTCAGATTCTAATTGTAGTGTATGTTGCTTGCTGTTATCTTCTATGTCTTCCATGTAGCTTACAGCATTTTGATTGTTTCGCAAATAATTTTACCACTTTAGAATAAATACATCACAAAGTGCCAACCATTTTAAGTTATACAAGTCACCAAGTGCCATTTTAATTCCTGCTGTTTAAAAATTCATGAAACTGTCAAATACGGTTTACACGATGGTGTAAACCTAAACCTTTGTATATGCACAAAGCACATCTGAGTTTCACGATTTTTGTACGGCAATCGATTAAAGAGTTATTCATATGATTATTCGTTTCTCTTTTATGCAATAAATATGATTTTTCCTGTTGAATGACTTTTTGTTGAGATTTAAACAGTATTCAATACACAATGGATTGTAGATACACGTCAACTTTTAGATTTCGAACAAGTCAGGCTATTTGGGATAGGAGGTTAAATATAATGATATTTTGCAGAGTAATTATTTTGAATAAATGACAGGTTTATATATAGCTAAATATGTATAACGGGTTATAAAGTAAAAGACTATTCTTGTTGAATATACCACTTTGGTGTGTTCGATTTTTGCACAACATTCAACTTACTTAAAATTAATTAAAATATTATATTTGCGTTAGATTTTCATGCGCTTGAAAAAAACAGAAATTTAAAAAGTGATTTAACCTCGTTAGGATTATATTCATAAAGACTTATCAAACAGTATCAAATAAATGATCTTTCGTTTCTGGTTTCAAAGCAGTCAAAAACATTAAATATACAAACGGAACGGTTTTTGACTCTCACATAAGATCAAATTGTAATATATATCGAATATATATTATGCAAAGGCTTTTAAACATATCTAATGTTCCACAAAAGCAAATTTGTACAATTTTTGATGCTCTGAAATAAAGAATACCCAACACACAACACTGTTATAAATTTTTGCAACTTGAAAACAGTTATCTGTTCCGTCACAATGGTAAGAAAAAATGTCGTTTTCTCTATACAGGTGGCGACGCTTAAGACATTTTTCATTCTTATTTACTTACTAAAATTTATTTAAACAATAACGAAGTCCCTTTAAAAAATGTTTACCTTATATGATGGAAAATGCATGCATGCAGCCTACGACTTGAAAAAAATGTTGGGGTAACCATATAGTGGTGACAAATATGACAACAGTAAGCCGAGAACATCGACGCACTAGGCACAGTATCCGCGCAACCCTGTGTTTTTATTATACTGTTTTCTTGGCAAATTGTTCGAAATTGTTTCCCTTCCCGAAATGTTTTCCCTCTGAAGACTAATTTTAACACCAATGAAATATTCTTTCTATTGTTGATTACCGCACTTGTGTTAAATCCATATATTTCGATATAATCAAACACAATCTTTTCTTTTATCATGTAAATTTCGAAATGGAAAAAGATCTAAGATGTCTAACTCACGCACACCTAACGGTTCAGAAAACAGATGCGAAATCTTAATATCAGCATGTAGGTACATCATTGACTTGATTATAGCAAATTACTGACTAGTGACTTTAAATGACCCCGATTTGAAAGATAGTAGGATACTTATATCAAAACGACTATTTTGCGCTCATGTATCACTTGTACCTGGAACTGGAGACGAAACAAAATTATCCCCATTCATATATAATTTAAGACTTATAATGTGTCAAAATAGACAACAAAATGCGAGCAAATTGGCGGAAAACCTTTTGCACTTCGCAGATGAAATTTCACTCCTTTTTTAAAATGAATTTTTGCCGTCGTGTGTCAGTTTTTATTGTCTTTACTAAGAGTAGGGCAATTGTATCTGACTGAGTCCAAAGTCTGGTCTTATATTAAAGCAATTAACTCCATTTGGACAAAGTCAATAATGAGCCGAGTCTATAAATTTGAAGTATCAGTTGTGAATTGCACCACCTAGTGTTTGTTACTTGACTTCCGCTCCCTATTTTAGGTCATGGGTCATGTGAAAGACTTTTGTAACAGAGTATCCGGTAGAATCACATATTTAATTGCGTCAGTTTGAATCGACTTAGTTGGCTTTTTATGACTAGATTCGAGTTGCGTTATATCACTGGATAGAATCAATTATTTGGAATTTCTTCAAAACTCGCTCTCGTCAAGCATTTGTAAAATGCGCATGAAGTTTGATTCTTTTTTTAATAAAGTTTATTCAATTAGTTGATTACAAAAATTTGAATTGTTGAAATATAAAATGTTTAACAACATATTCATCTTCCACAATTTTTTGTTACATCAACTGATAAAATATGATTAAAAGCAGAATTGTAAATCGATAAAAAGTGTTCGGAAGTTTTAGGTCTGGGTCATGTCTGAAAGAGTGGGTTTTTGAAGTGAAGTATTGTTTCACCGTTTTGTATTATTCTGGAATGAATTCAGAGATGAAAACGTTGAATTTAAAATTATTAAAATAATATATCTAACAATACCAATGGGAAATAAATCAAGATTTATTGAATAAATAAGGTTGAATCGAGAATCGAGATACATATATATTATTAAAAGTTTACGCTTCGATGCGATCAGCTGATTCGGATAAAACATCGACAAGGGAAATTTTCTTGGCACGTGATCGTATATGACGTCATCTTGAGAGGCAGATGGCGAGCGTATGGGAAAGTGGTCGAAGAATGTAGGCGTGTTATTCCTCGACTGTTTGCGCTCGCATTAACGCGTGCCTAAGTGTTTAGCGTTAAATAGGCTTACCAAAACACAAGACGAGGGCAGGTGGAGTATGCGTGGGAACATGGAATAATGCTTAATATAAACTTTCATCATGTTGATAAATTAAAAAACGTACAAAATGTTACAAAACAATTCGTCGAAACATAAATGAAAAAGACCGAAAGCGGGTGTATTTTGAATACAAAATTTTTATGAAAATCGGTTGGAAGTTGTACTTTTATCATATTTCCCAAATTAGTACAAAATACCATCCCAATGCATCTTTTTTTAATAGATGTCTTTCATCAAAGCTACTGAAATTTGAGATGGCTGATATTTTTTTGGTTTCAAAAACCTTATTTGATTTGTTATAACACGCTGGAAAATGTGGCGATCTTAGATTGATTATTGGGCAAACCTGGGCTTGAACCTAAAATCTCCAACATTCCCGTTCCATAAAAATATTGAATATAATTCTGTTTTTCTATTTTAGGAGTGAGCGTTATGTCAATGAACGTCGTGGTACGTATGATCATGTTCTATTTTTGTTGAGCAATTCTTAGTTTTTGACTATAGTTCCCATACATCCCCCACCTGTCATACGTTTATGTAATCAAGGCAAATATATTATAATCGCGCATAGCCTAAGCTATAGCACACCCCTAAAATACTTTAGTTACCAACCTATCGCTAGGAACACTTTTTCCCACACGTTCACCAGATGCCGTATCAACACGATAAACAAATGAAAAAAGCGCGAAGCAAATTTACTCCAACCCAACCCGAGACAACAGCTGATTTGTCACGTGAACACAGCAATATGTAAGATAATTAAACCCATGTGAAATTTGAAATGAAATAAAAGGAAAGATAAATAAACAACTTTGATTTAAAAAAAATTATGACGTTATAAGACATAAAAGCAAAATGTTCAAAATGCATGAAAATAGATAAACAAACCTTGTAGCTCATAATTTTAGGAGTATAACATTTAGACGAGTTTTTTACTTGAACCTAATTTAAATTATCAGTTTCTAAACTTCCATTATTTCTAACTATTTGATATATTTATTCAACTAGTATTAATTACTTAAGTATGTTGATAGGTATTTGTCTGTCTGTATGCCTGTCTGTTTGTCTGTTTGTTTGTCTGTTAGATGCACGCGATATCTCACGAAAGCGAGTTTGAATCTGCTCCAGATTTTGCATGTGCATTCATCTTATCTCGGACCAGAAACCTATTGATTTTGGGCGAATTATGTCGTATAATTAGCATGTTATTAATTAATTAGTGATGAGACACAAGGTGTCACTATGGAGTAAGAGCGCTGTTTTTGGGGATCCCCTAACTTTCGATCGATAAGTCTTCGGTCTCTGACCGATATTCTCGTTATTTTATTATTGATTAATTTAAATAATCAAAAACTCTTCTTTTCAATCGATATCACAATAATAGAACCTCAGTTCTTGCCTGCACTAGTAATTAAAAAGATAACACAAGCCATGGATAATTGTACTTTGCCCCACATCAGACTGTGCATAATTTTACTGTGTATATAAATTTCTTGTACTATGGCGTGCCTAAACTTGTCTACACATGTCCTGATCAAACATCAATTTGTGTTATTTAATGACAGTTAAGTTTCGTTCCCACGCACTTTCCACCTGCCACACTTAACGGCAAAATTATATCGGCCTAATTATGCCTGAGTTGTGGCACGCACCAGGAATCCTGTGGCATGTATCAGTGTTGACTGAGGCGCGTTCCCACGCGCAGACCAGATGCCTCATCAACAAGATTATGGTAAACGAAAAATATGAACATCAGAATATACCGCGAGCGACGTAAAACCACGTGGCCAACAGCTGATTTAACTCACATGTGTATAATATTATACAAAAGACATGTTGAAATTTGCAAAAAAATTGATGCTGAAAGTAGATCGATGATAAAAATATATTAAAAATTCTCTATCTTTTTGATTCCATGTGTTTATCGTCATCATTTGTTGTTGTTTTTCGTGTTATATTTTAGAAAAATTGGTGTGAATACACCGATCGTATTACTTCGTTAAAATTTTCGATATAGATAACTGTTCACCATAGATCGTTAAAGATATAGATAAGAGATATAGATTAAGATATAGAATCCTAAAAAACTACAAAATTCAAACTGCCCAAACATTACGACCCCAATAAAAACGACACCGGAGAAAGAGTTAATCGTATGTATTACTACATTTTCACAGCTTGTACCTAGGTCAATATATCGTCTGAGCGTGGCGCACGTTCGACAGAATTCCATTTCCGCATTATTTTGGAATCTACATGAGTAAAGATCAGTAGAGCCTACGGTTGCAGAATTTCATTTCCGCATTATTTTGGAATCTACAGGAATAAAGGTCACTAGAACCTAAGGTTGCCGAATTTCATTTCCGCATTATTTTGAAATATACATGAATAAAGGTCACTAGAGCCTAAGGTTGCAGAATTTCATTTCCGCATTATTTTGGAATCTACAGGAATAAAGTTCAGTAGAGCCTAAGGTTGCAGAATTCCATTTCCGCATTATTTTGGAATCTACAGGAATAAAGTTCAGTAGAGCCTAAGGTTGCAGAATTCCATTTCCGCATTATTTTGGAATCTACAG